TATTGTATCTGGGTAAGATTTAACGCAACAACATATGACAAAAAAAGCATATCCTGGAATTGTTCACGTGATTCTGCTACAACATCTTCCGAAAGTTTTGTTTACCCACAGAGGAAACTACTGGAGCTCCGAGCAACACTTTGAGACCAGAGTAAGTCATGATCTCCTGTTTTAATGTTACAACAAATTCTTGTTTGACACAAAAAATGACAACGTGATTACTGTTAGAGAATGTTTCCCGGATAATTAGCATCAGTTTTTCATGAGTATAGCCAACGGTTTTACAGCCTGTTCCCTGACAACACCTGCTCAGAAGTAGTTTAGGATCCTTGATACGCCGAGCTTTGACTCCAAAAAGATAACAAACACTTACAATAACCAACACCAGTCATAATCTCTGTCTATGTCTCTCTTTCTCTCTCTCTCTCTCTCTCTCTATGTAAAAACGAACCATGTGCTACACAAAACACAACACACTGAATAGAGTGAACTTGACAAGAACGCTACGCATGAGAACAAGCAGAAAACAAACACGCAGAACACGCATGTCCGAATCCCAACACAAAACCAAAACAAAAACTAGACAGATGTGCCGTGATTCAAACTCCACGCCTGCACAATGTAACAAGGCACCTGACATCGACGGAAGAAATGTGGAAATCAGGTTAAACTGTGAAATATCTGATGAACATTGCAAATACTCATCAGATTAATCTTAATCTTAAATACTAAGAAAAATGTTTCAGCAGTTCGTTTTTCGAGTAATCTACACACAAAATCCGCGATGAGACTGAGCTCGAAATCTCTCAAATAGCATTCGCGTCAGCGATTTTTTTATTGTGCGAAATCGCTGTCAATCAAAAGGAGATGCAATCCTCCAATCATCACGCGGACGCCCAGACTCCAGGCCAGCCCACTTCCCTATTCACCTCAGAGACACTGAGCGTCCGTGGGCGGGACATAATCGCAGTGTTTATCCAATGACCGTCTAGTTTCGCAGCACTGAAAAAAACTGTGCAAAGCAGCCCCATTGAAGTCAATGGACGCGGAGCTTCAACAGAGAAATGCCATAGGGAAATGCACTGTGATGCGCTATGGGAATGTATGAGAAGGAGATCGAGTCAGCCGACCTGATATATGTAACTTATTCTAAAAGAACTTCTTTCGTTTTTTCTTCGTTGTTTTCTGGCATTCGCGTTGTCTAAAAGATAAGCCTGAAAAAAACGGGAGACAGAGCAGAAATATATATTAAGATTGAGACTGTCTAATCGTATTGAAATTTATTTAGAAACTGAAGTATATCCTCGAGGTTGAACTACATTGAAAATTATGAAAAATTGAAAGTTATCTTGTGGATTACTGTGGATTAAAAAACCAGTCTGGCTATCTACAATAGCACTGGATGTTGCCTAACAGACTTAGCCTGGATGCCAGCCCGAACTCCGCCCACAACATTTTTTGGACGGGAAGTTCGGTCTGGACTCGATCCACTGAGGAGTAATTATGATCGGTTCAGAAATCATCGGGCCAATCAAATTGCCAGGGCGGGCTTTATACAATGATGGACAGATGATCTGCAAGGACGTAATCCTCACGTCATCAAAGAGCGCTAACTGATTTCCTGACTGCAGCTGGAGAATTGAGATGTATAGATTTCACTGTCGCGTCTGTTGTAAAATAAATCGACAGTGCATTAATTTTAATAGACAAACAGAAAACTGCAATCAAGGCATTTGTCGATCGGAAAGATATTTTTCCTTCCTACATGATTCGGGAAAAGTGTAACTTATCAGCTGGCTCTGCCGCTCGTTAAGAAGATGGGACGTAATGAAAAGCCTGTGGTCGTTGTGGTTTCTCCTTTGGTGGCACTCATGGAGGAGTAAGTAAAGAAGCAACACTCGTTATTTAACTTCTAAAATAAATAAAGTTAGGCTACGTTCTGTATTTGAAAACTGCGCTATGCAAAGGAATTGACTTACTTGCGTTGCTCTAATTGGTTGTAGGTTTACCGACTATCCAATTGAGTGCAGAGTTTTTTTTTTCCTGGTTCGGTTAAGACACGCCTCATAATCAAAGCCCAATGGAGCGGTCTCAGACTCATTTTCTTATTAGAAAATGATTATGACGAAGTCAGGCTATTACAGACTGTTTTTTTTTTTTTTTGAGGCTTCTTCTGGTCCCGGATCCCTGGTGTTCTCTTTCACCGAAGCTGGATTCCTCTCTGTTCGTCCTGGTGCCTGGTTCCTTGGTCCACTGCGTCAACTAACAGCGCTGCAACGGATCCATTGGGTGGTTCATATGGACGCTAAATACTGAAGGGTTGGTTGGACAGTTAAAATATTTGAGTGAACTCAAGGGTTACTAATTTTTTTCTTTGGAAGATTTTCCCTTTTGTTTTTTTTGTTTTTTGTTTTTTTCATGAGAAAAATAAAATACAGCCCACTACTACATTTCAGTTCAGGGAAGAGTTCAAAAAATGATTGGTCGACATTATGCATGAGGAATACATTTTGGTAAGTTGTAGCATACTGTATCTTTCAACAGTGTTCGTGTTCTTTTTCCATTAGCTAGTAGAGATGATCGGTTCACGTGCGCTAGGGATCTGTAGTGTAACATGTACAAGCGCAAAAACGGTATTTATTGTTTGAATTGCGTAATAAAATTGACAGAATCTGAGAGCTTAACTAACCTGCTTGCTTAGTGTCAATTGCGTGTGTCTCACGGTGAATTCATGAGAGTTGGCAGCTCTGAATGGCGCTAGCTTGATCAACATCAGTGAATGCTGTCTGTCAAATTAATTCAAACGAAGAATAAAAGTGTAATATGAACAAAACGAATACCATAAACTTAAAATATTAGCCCGCAGGCTTTTATTTTCTCATATCGTCGAAATGCACCAGCTTGTTTTTGATACAGGCGTCTATGAGGCGGTCATCATTTAGTGTTGAGATGTCGTTCATTGAGTCTCTGATCTCTAAAAATCTCCAAATGCTCCACGTGAAACTGCGGTCTTCCAACCTTTTACTATCGTGTCAAAAGATTTGAATAACATGCGCGAGAAAGAGAGAGCAAAACAGCGCTCGTTTGTGTTGTTTGAAGACGTGAGAGTGCGCGGCCGCGGCACAACTCACTTTCTGGAGGTGTACTGCCCCCATCTGTTATGGAATATGATTTGATTTTATGTGCAAGACGGCACCTTTAATGCTTACTTATAAGGTCTTGCATGGACTGACGCCTTATTATTTAACTGAACTTTTAACACCCTACACACCAGCACCTGATCTCCGTTCTTTGGAAGCTGGACTTTTAATTGTTACGCATACCCGACTAAAATCCATGGGTGATGGGGCCTTTTCGCCTAATGCTCCAAAACTCTGGAATTCCCTGCCTATTGAGATTAGGCAAGCAGAATCTCTTAGTGTTTTTAAATCATCACTTAAAACTTATTTGTTTAGGGTAGCTTTTCCTTAATTGTTGAAAATTGTTGCATTATTATTATTAATCCTATATTTCATAATGATTTATTTTGTATTTTATTGCATTGTTTGTTTAATTGTATGTTTTATTATGTTTCTATATTTGTGACGCGCTTTGAGATACTTTTTAAAGAGCCCCTATCATAGGCATAGCACTTGAAATGTTCCTATTTTTGTTTTAGGAGTTCCCAAAAACAGTTTAACGTGCATGCAAGGATAAAAAAAAACACTTTATTTGTCTTATAATATACATTTATTTTTAACTGATTTGCTCAACGACTCCCAAATGATTCGTTCGACGATTCATTTTCCCAAACACCTCCTTTGAGTGACGCGAATCTGCGGCGATTGGTCAAATGACACAGTCAGTTGTTATTGGTAAGACGTAGGCAGAGACTGTCTGCAACGTAACGCCCATAAACAGGATTATAGCTCGTCAAGTGTTGAAAATTGTTTAGTGTTTGAACAAACGTGTCAGAAAAAGAGCACTTTCCACACGGTCCCTTACTCGCGTCTCCGTCTTTCCCCGCGAAACTCACATTGCGGCGGCTTTTGCGGGGCAGTGCTTATTATATAGAGCGAAGTCAGATTTGGCTAAGTCGTTTAGGAGGTAATTGCCATTTTTCAATGAATTTCTGGTGAATATCAAAAACAAAACTAACTTTACCCCACTTAGAAGCTGCGCGGAGTGTACACAACACACACAACACAATATAACTATATTGTGCATGCTGCAGAAAACATAACAGCAAACATTATTAATAATACTTACAGGTTGTGATTCGTCGGAGGAAGAACCTGATCCATATACACTGGATACTGAGCCCTCCTTCGGGAACAACCGGCTTGCGAATGATTCGTCATTAAAATGATGAGAACATAAGGTTCGGGCGTTGCTAATATGATCTCTGACCACTGATTCTTCACATGCTCGTCCCTGGACAATGGAAACAAGTGGCTGAACTGTCTTTGCAATGTAGAACACAGCGTCTTCTCGACATGATGCGATTCAGCTGAAGGTGTTCTGGACTAGACTTCAAGTTTACACTCCCGTCTGCGCGCGCAGTTGTTGGGAGCAGCCAATGAGCTAATGTTCTGTATCTACGTCACGACGAAACAGCTAATGACTCGTTTCAAAAACAATTCATTTCATAGACTCAGAGTCGACTCTCACTTTTAAAAGACAATAACTTTATATACGGTGCACTTTCAGATATAAATCTTTGCAGGATGTTTTCATTCCCTTAGAGCTATAGTCCACACTACATTAACAGTCATTTTCAAAAATCCATGATAGTTGCTCTTTAAAGGCGCTTTATAAAATAAAGTTTATTATTATTATTATTATTATTATTATTATTAGGCTAACCAGTCAAATTAGACAAATGTATCTTTTTACAAGGCTGACTGACCAAAAACAATGATGACTGGGATACTAAGTGGTTTATATACCCTGCTACACCCTGCTTAAAAAAAAAAAAAGTGCAACTGGCCCAGCAGGATTCCTACTACATAAACAGGTTTTCAGCACATCATCATCATCACACATCTCAGAGCTGCACTGGAGATGCCCTCTTTTCTGCTCATCACAAGGTGAATAAAACTCTTAATAAACCTGTATTGCACATCAATCATTAGCTAATTTAAAACTTTACTGAAAAAAATGTGGTTGTAGAAACAGTTTTCTCGAGTGAATTTCAGAAATTATAAAGAAACGGCAAGTAATACATTGAATTAAACATGAAAAACAGAAATAGTATTTTCTTGTAAAACATACTCCGATAATCTTTGTTTTATTTCAAACTTAATTTTTTTTTTAAATTATAACTTAAAATTGTTCACAACTCTAAATTGAACCTTTATATTTTTATAACAGATAATACAAAGGCAGAATTTACAAGAAATAAACAGGAGAGAACACATATCAACCAGCACAGACTTAATGATTAATAATGGACAAGCGAGAAAGAGAAGAATGGCGAACAAAAAAGGAAAAGAAATTACGATCTAATGAATCAAAGACATCGAGTCTATTCAGACAAAACAGCATTTATAGTGGCAAACCAAACTGTGAGTATTTATGATATGTAAGATCAAACATCGGCACGTATCTTTAATTATCAAAACTGTTTCATGTCTGGCTTTTTCATTCACTGTACAAACTTTAAAAAGCATCAATCACATTTACAGTTCATACATGGTTACTAGTTTGCCCTGTTCAGGAGTGTTGTGTTCATTTGTTAAAGACCCGTGTTTAATCAGTTCAGTTGTCTGTTATCATCATAAACTAGGTTGATTGTTCTGTTCATGTTTCTGAGATTCTGGAGTTTTTCTTTTCTTTTCTTTTCTTTTCTTTTTTTTTTTTTGTGAAGATTTGAGTTTATTTCTAAATTAAAGGAACTGCTGCATTTAGATCCTGCTAACTTTCTTTTCTGCAGCGTCCAGCATACAAAACGCATATGTGGTGTGATGCTAAAATCTGATTTTGTGTTTCTCATTTCCAGTTTCTGCAGAGTTTCAGACTCACAGGTGAGGTGTGAGATTTAAACGAATAGAGTTACTGTAGAACTGATGCACAAATCTGATGTCATGTTGATCTTTGTGTGTTATATTTCTGAGAATGTTTTCATTTCTTTCTTTTTTTTAGGAAGCAGAAATTCCATTTGCCTAAACCGCAAAATATTCTCCATCATGTTTGGTCACTGATTAAACAATAAATTATCAAGAGAATACATAGATATTTACAGTATCTAACTATTTGAAAGATAACAAAGTTATAAGAAAAGATTTTAAAAAGAAGTGTGTGTGTGTGTACATATATTGCATTATGTGAGCAGGGAATATGTGACATGAGCACTATTGTGTTATAGCATTGGTGTAACTGACAAATATGAAAAATTTAATGAATTGAATGTATAAAGAATGAAATATACAATAAAAATATGTGTATTGCTAATGTATTGAAACAAACTAATGTATCAAACAAGAAAATATGTTGAAAATAAAGCAATTTATTAAATAAAGCAATTGACTCTAGTAATGTTACAATTTAGCAACATGTGCTTAAATGTAGAGATATCGTGCATAAATTAGTTATTTTGAAAAGCAGGTACTTTAGGGCTCTCAGGGTGAGAGAGAGAGAGAGAGAGAATCCCGAACTCGCATCTCTCACAGAGGAGCGGGAGCGACGTGGATGGTCGAGAGGAACAGGCCTTCTTTTGTTCCAATTTTGTTATATTTCCTTTTGGTATTTATATTTTATTTTTGGTAAACAGCAGTTCCGTGAGGGACTGCTGGCAGGTATTTTGTTTGTTTATTTCATTTAAATAAAGTTTTATTTGATTGTTCTCCTTCTTCCTTAAAGTCCCTGTAAAGGCAATTCTACAAAAAAGTTCTAAACACATTATAAATGTTACATATGTATTGCTAAAACATTTGACAAACACTGTGAACTGTGAAGTTCTGAAATGTGGAGTTAGACCGTTAAACAGTTTTTCACCATTGCAATTTTACGGATTGTTTGGGCGGGGCTAAAACAGGGCTCCGTGACGCACTGGAGCCCATGAGCTGCTGGACACGCCCCTATTTGATGACGCACAGAGTCTGATCTCTCCCCTAACACACAATAACACTCCCCGAGCACATTCGCATTCACCGCTCAATCGCGAGTGTCTGTCAGCACTATTAGTTACTACAACTGAGCCTACAGTTTTCTAGCTAGCTATGCCTTCGACACGGACATGCATGGGCTACCTGGATGCGATCATGTACAAAACAGATTGGTATCTTCATTTAAATTCCATAAAAACGATCACATCAAGAAGAGGTTTTTAGAGAGCCAACCTTGATGAAGAGCTGATCACCCCCAACACCCCCCTCTGTAGTGATCGTTTTACACTGGATCGTTTTATAAACTTTCCTCAGAGACAACTTGGATTCACTGATAATCCGCTGTTACTGGTGAACGGGGCCGAAACGACGATCTCCCGCCTCAGCGTTCATCCTCCCGTCTCCAAAAGCTAATCAGCTAATATCACCGTCAACAGCTTTCCCGTGAGTGGGCGTGGTTTCAGCGCAGCCAGCGGACACGCCCCCAGCGTTTGAGAGCAGAGATAAACTGCTCATTTTTTCATGATGTCGATAGCTTATTTTATGTACTTGCCGGCTTTTTTTATCATTCAAATTTGGCTGGGTGGCTAATTACACATTTTTCTGTGGTATGACAGACTCAGAACACATACTTAATTTTGTAGCCTGACTTCGTCATACTCATATTCAAGAAAGAATATGAGTCTGAAACTCCTTCGTTGGGCTTTGATTATGAGGCGTGTCGTAACCGAACCAGGACAAAAAAAAAACTCTGCACTCAATTGGATAGTCGGTAGACCTACAACCAATCAGAGCAACGCATAAGTCAACTCCTTTGCATAGCGCAGTTTTCAAATACAGAACGTAGCCTAACTTTATTTATTTTAGAAGTTAAATAACGAGTGTTACTTCTTTTACTTACTCCTCCATGAGTGCCACCAAAGGAGAAACCACAACGACCACAGGCTTTTCATTACGTCCCATCTTCTTAGCGACCGTCAGAGCAAGCTGATAAGTTACACTTTTCCCGAATCATGTGGAAGGACGCCAAAAATATCTTTCCGATCGACAAATGCCTTGATTGCAGTTTTCTGTTTGTCTATTAAAATGAATGCGCTGTCGATTTATTTTACAACAGACGCGACAGTGGAATCTATACATCTCAATTCTCCAGCTGCAGTCATCTTCGACAAGCGCTCTTTGATGACGTGAGGATTACGTTACTGAAGACCACCTGTCAATCATCGTATAAAGCCCGCCCTGGCAATTTGATTGGCTCGATGATTTCTGAACCAATCATAATTACTCCTCAATGGATCGAGTCCAGACCAAACTTCCCGTCCAAAAAATGTTGTGGGCGGAGTTCGGGCTGGCATCCAGGCTATTAATTTTGACTTTACAGGGACTTTAAACCTTGCTACAGAGAGAGAGAGAGAGAGAGAGAGAGAGAGAGAGAGAGAGAGAGAGACTGACTTTTGACTTTGCAAAACCTTTAATTTACAGTTTAAAGATAGATTAACATGATGGATTAAAACATTTTAATCCATCTCTCCATTCAACATTTCCAGGCAATGCTGGTATAGAACCTGTGGTTTCCCACCATAGAGCTTCGCTTTTCCCCCAGTTTTAAGGGTTTCTTTAATACAAAAATTAAAAAATTAGATTATAAAGAGAAAAAAAGAAATATGTAAAATAAAATTACACATTACATATTGCAACATGACATCATGACTTTTGTGTAAACATACACGCCACTTTCAAGTCAAGTGGCGTATTATCTATACGCATTTTGAGCTATCCGTGTGTATCCGCGTATATGCGTGTATGTCTGTACACGCCGTTAAATGTCCGAGCGAAACGAAGCAAAATGTAGATCTACATCTGGGGAGCGATCCTTTTTTCCCTAGGATGGTAGGGGAAGACTCATAAATGCCATTAACCCCAGTGACGGGTAGGTTTAGGGACGGGGTTGGGGTAGGTCATATATTTATATATACAGTAATGTAACGTTAAGTCAACGGCGTTCATAAACATGTTGAAAGGTGAATATGCGTGTTGATAGCACGCCAAAAATGGAAATACGAATTGGCGTGTCGTACATACGCCATTTCATGAGATCAGACAGATTTATGAATATTGTTTTACGAGAAAAAAGACTCAAATATTAAATTGCAAACATTCATCAGTCAACTTCACAAATACACTTATTGACTTCCCATCTATATTTGAACATCTCCAGATAATTTATCAACTTATAATAACTAGTTAATACGGAATTTTTTTAATCCCTTTAATACTGAAGTAACACCATTTGATCCCTTAACTCTCAATTAACTTTTTCTTGTAAACCAAATAGTACTTAAGCCCATAAATAAACCTTTCAGGTGTTGAAGCTTCCCCCAGGGTTTGACACCACTCTTCCATTTTAACAAATAAATGCTCTAATCTTGCACAATTAAAAAACAAATGGAAGACCGTTTCTTAATTCCACAAAAAGGGTAACCCTCCCCTACCTGTGGGTCAAGGTGTGCTCTGTGTCTGTTTGTGGCTATTCTCCCATGTCTCCAGTTCTCTTGTCAATGGGGGTTTGTACAGGGACCTCCAGCAGCCTTTAGGGGAAGCGCTTGGCTCAAAGATCTCGTGCCACTTAGTCTCTCTCACACTCTGCTGTGCTGCTGCACAAGGTACATCACCTTTACACACAGTCCATACATCATTTTCTTTCCAACGTTACTAAAAAGTCCAAGTTGGGGTGTCTTAAAGGAAAGTAAACCATTCTCCATTTCTTGCCATTTGCTGATATCAGGTGAGAACAGCAACTCTCCTCCTCCCCAACAGGTGTCTCTAAAGAGACTCTATAATCTTTTGAATATTTTAGATTTTTTATTATATTAGTTAAACAAATAGCTGAGTGTGCCTGAGGTTCTTCCCCATTCCTATCGTCTAGAGTGCCATTCCAATCTCCCCTAATACAATGAGATCGCCATCCTGCTCTAGTTTTGTAAACAGCTGAACTCTGTCTGCTACTATATTAGGGGCATAGATGTGAGATTCATAATTTTGGCCCTTACAGTCAAAAGTCTCCCTGGTACCAGCTCATCTTTTGAGAAAACCTTTATTTTTGAGAGCAAGGGAAAAAAGCACGGTTACTTCAGCACTGAAGTTAGTCCCATGACTCAGAAAACTATTCCCTTCCCATCAGTGTTGTAGTCGAGACCACCTCACTCGAGTCCGAGTCGACACCGAGACCAGAGAGAGTCGAGTCCGAGACCAGAGAGAGTCGAGTCCGAGTCAAGACCGAGACCAGTGAGGGTTGATTACATAATTTACTTTTATTTACTTAGAGAAATCCTTTTTTTTTTTTTTCTTAGAGTTTAAGAAATATGATCAGTTTAGGGTAAAAAGGCCACATAGTAGGTGGTGTTAAAAGTAATTTTATTACAATTTGTCATGCGCAGTTGCGCACTAGAAAATCACCAATCACTGGGCGTGTCAATCAATTTAAAGAAATATTTAATTAACATACATTAATAATCATGAAAAATATTTTGAATTGAACACGAGTGGACTCGGGAATAATTCCGAGTCCTAAAAAAAAAATGTTCGAGTACGAGTCAATTCCGAGTCCAAATGCACACGAGTCCATGACAAGACCAAGACCATTAAAATATGGTCTCGAGACCGAGTCCGAGACGAGTCCGAGTCTCGAGTACTACAACACTGCTTCCCATCACACGAGCCCCAATCAATCTAATTGTCTTGACTGCTATGGGTCTCCCACACTCAGATCTTTTATTTCTGATAATAACCCTTTTTTCCTCCTATTCCTCATTCCATTTAAATTAATTCACCCTTGAGATCTCCATGAGAAAGAGAAAGAGGAAAAAAACAGCCATTTATTTAGTTCCCCCCTTGCATTCCACATCCTTTTTCTTTGTCTGAGAACAGTAATGTGCTTCTTAAGACGAAACCGCCAGTGGCGGCTGGTGAAAATTATTGTAGGGGGGGCTGAATAAGAGGGGGGTCTGAAGAGGGGGGTCCCAGAAAATTTTGAATTTAGTAGATGTGATTTCCTGCATTCTGGTGCATTTTAGGCCTTAGGCCATGCCCTTACCTATACCAATAAAATAACTTAAACCAGTCAATACCAATGGTCAAATAATACAATAATAATAATAACAGTTTGACAGTTAATGATAATGAACAAGTTGCATGTTTATTATGCTCTGTGTGCTGACAGAAAAAGTGCAAACGCTTAATATTGATAAATTATAATATAGGTAATACAAAAAAAAAAAAAATAGGTAATACAACAATGTAGTTTAATCAATCCCCAGCTGTAGACTACATATTTTTGACAAATTGACAATTGGATGGATAACAATGTGTTGATACTAGAAAGAGAGAGAGAAAAGGCTCTGAAAAAGAGGGTGGGACAACATTCTTGCGGGTAACACCCAAGTATGAGAAGAAAGTTAATTTTAACTAGTATGAAACACAGTAATCTAGCTCAGAACTTTAAAACATCAAAAAACAAAGCAAACACACAGGTATTAATATTCCTATAAATATTTTAATATCAAATGTGTGTGAAACAGTGTTTATGTGTGTGTGAGTGAGTGAGTGACAGAGACAGACAGGTCAATTCCCACGACTTACTTTACATTATTTCCACTCGACGTCACTGGCGCTGCCATTCTGCTCTCATCTGAGGTAAAAAAAATGTCCCGTGGTGCGCGTGCACGGTGCACTCCCCTAATCTGATACTGTGGGCGATATTTTCAGCGCCCCCAAACCATAAAATTTGACGGCGCTGATTGGCGAAATATAAACTTTTTTGCATAGCAACCGGGGAACCATTGGCTTAAATTCCAGCACTGTGGGGCTGAGCGAACTGGCGCCCTGAGAAGACAGCCTATAGATACAGTCGGTTGGTCTGGGAACGCCCCCGGGAACGCCCCGTCACGTGGTGTGAATTTAGCCCGTGGGGGAAAACATTGCCTTGGCGCTCATTGAAATACATGGGACAATCATGCCGAAGAGTTGCTGTGTCGTTTTCTGTACCACCAATAAACTAACAAATTATAAATTGAAGTTCTACAGCCTTTCTTACATACATGCAGAACTGGATAGGAGGACAAAATGGCAAAATTAATCATATCTTATTAGATTACTGTGTGAGTAGAGGTCCTTGTGTGATAGTAGTAGATGTTTAACTCGTATTAGGCAGTGGGCCAGATTTGTCTGACTTTACATCCCTTATGAAAAAGAACTATAGTAATCCTATGGCTATATAGTAGTGTAATACTTCTGTGATGTTCTTTAATACCTCTATACTTCTAGGCTATGTCCCAAAATACTATAGTATTCATAGTATTCACGTTACTATAATATTTTGTCCTAAAATACTACAAGATTCCTTTAGTTGTTTTTCATAAGGGATGTCTCTGTCACATTAGCGTTATTATCAGCTGAAGGTTATCAGACTGCAGTCTGTGAGAATTCGGATAACTGTCAGCAAAGTCCCTCTGCAACTTCGTATCTACTAACTGATCACCGTTTTACAAAAGGATTAATAGTTTGGAGTGAAGCATACGTACAATTGGTAAGTGACATGGTTTTATGGACTTATAGTAACTTATACGCAAGTTGATTGAGTTATAGGCTTGTGTTGCCGATCCGCGATGTCTTACCTGAAGATTCAACCAGATAACAATAGTCTGGAAACGACACCTCCGGCCATTTGGTTGGGTCATTGACCCAGTTTTTAATTAAATAAGGGCAATCATAACCTATTACAGTTAATTTTGCAATGTACCGTTGCCGGTCGGCAGGCATAAATGACTCGCAATATGACATTTTTGTCATTCAAATACATAGGATGGTCGCGCTGCTTTCCCCCACGCCGACCACGCCCCCCAACTATGACGCGTTGCCGACTGTATCTATAGGCTATACTACTACACCAACATGATAAAAGTAACGAAAGTGAATGCAAATATCATTCTGGTGAGTTCAAAACACTTTTCAAAGTAAAACCATTATTAGCATATAATTAACACAGATTATTTTTCAAAATTATAAATTCTAATATATATTAAAAAAACAGACAGACAGGTCGGAGGGAGGGCGGCGCCCCAGCGCCCTCTATGGGCGAGCCGCCCCTGGAAACCGCTTCTGTTGCGAAAGATCCTCATAGTTTTAGCCCATTTTCTTAGCCCACAAGCGAAACAATAAACTTTTCAATGTCAGGAATGTAGTCAGTTACTTCAACACCAGCTTTTCCTTTTGTTTTATCAAGAAATGCATTGATTTGTTCCACAGTATAATGATCTTGATCAGTTCCTCTTAAGGCCTCTGAACACTGATCATTATCTCCATCATCAGCACACTGGAAATAACTATCCATCTCCTCAGCCATATTGTCCTCTATGCCTTCAACCTGTCAGCAACTTCGCCCATATTTCCATCACTACTCTGGGCACACACACACACATGAGACTGTGAAGCCGCATGTGCTCATAACAGACATAAAGGCAAGGCAAGTTTATTTATATAGCACATTTCATACACAGTGGCAATTCAAAGTGCTTTACATGGAAGAAATTAAAATAAGCAAAAGAAATCTGAACAATTAAAACAGTTTAGAATAAAAAAATCATAACAATAAAAAATAAAATACAGTAAATAATTAAAACAATTTAGAATCAAAAATAAAATGAAGTAAATTAACCGTCGGATGAACAGCGGCACAGTGCTCATTCAGTAAATGCAATCAATATAAATAAAAACAGTTAAGAGTAAAAATAAAATAAATAAAGTAATACCCCTATCTGAGATGGAAGAGATTGAGCTGGTAAATAGTTGAAGTAAACACTATCACAAGCCATGTGCTCAATGAAAGTGAAACAAAAACACAAGCTGCATAGATAAAAACAAGATGTGGCCGATGTAAACACGAACCACCTGCTAAACAGAACAAAACAACAAGAGAAGTGTATTCAAGATGTGCCTCAATTCTGAAAAAAATAAATAAAAATCAAGCAGTTCAAGACGTGTTCTGAAATCTCAGAGTCAAATTCAGATTTGTTAGATGCAAACATTTCTGACAAAATGGTCAGATTTGTTTATATTGTTTATGTGGCTGGAGGAGGATAATATTCATAGGAGTTTGGGAGTTTCAGGGGGTTTCACTCTTTCACTATAAAATACTAAACAACAGCAGCAGAGATGATCATCTGAGCTGTTTTTTCCTCTTTGCTGGTGTAAGGTAATTAAAAGGCCTTTATCTTTAATTGGGTTGTAAAGAGCTTTTTATTAATTTCTTTATTTAAATTTGACATTTATGTATGTTTTGCATTAAAAATCGCAGAATAATTAAATGGACAAGAGAGAAAGAGAAAAATGGCTAACAAAAAAGACAAAGTTACAATCTACTGAACCAAAGATGCCGAGTCTAGTCAGACACAACAGCATTAATAGCGGCAAACCAAACTGTGAGTATTTATGATGTTTAATATAAAACTGTTATATTTCATCATCACCTGTGTTTCATCTGCCTCTCTGTGTCTTCGTCTTTCTCTGTATGAACTATATAGGAAAACTTACACTTAACTTTACAGTTGTGGTCTAAAAATTGCTATTATTGTCTTGTGGACTATATAAAAATCTGCTATGAAATTCAGTTCAATTATATGATGCTTATTCAGGGCAGGACTATTAAAAAACAAAAGGAGTTATAATGATCCCTCTTATTTGGTTAAAATGATTCATATTTAGCAGATTGTGCCAGGTGCATATACTGTAAATGTCCACCAGTGCATGACGCTTTCATCCAAAGTGACACTGATTCAATCAAACATAATGCATGAAAACTATAAGCAGATGTTTGTGTCTTTCATTCCCAGTTTCTCACGTTGCACAGAATCATTCTGGTGATTCACTCAGTCGCAAAAGAGGTAAGACACATTAAATACAGAGAATAAATATAGTTTAATGTAAAACTAAAGAACAAATGTGGTGCTATTTTGATTTTTGTGTATGTCATATTTTTTCTCTTTTTAGAAAGCAGCAGTTCTTTTCATCTCACCTACAAAATATTCTTCATTTTACCTAAACGGCTTGTTTTGTGCTCATTTTCTCGTTGTACTTTATCATTTAATTAATCAAAATCAGCAAGAGAGAGAGAGAAGTGTTCCGACTGTCACTGAACAATGCTGCAGGAATCTGCAATGACTTGGAAAGACCAAACATGACCTGAACACAAATAATATTTGTTTGCGAAGGCTTTGTAAGGTTGTTCCTAAGAAATGGGTATGAAAATCAAAAAGTCAATTGATATCTCTCTGCAACTTGTCTGACAAACACATGGGAAATTTTGAGAAATTTTGACAGATGTCAAAATGATATCATGAAAACAGTGATGTCACCAGCAGAAGATTCAGCTCGACACACAAGAGCTGCATTTGATTATCAAAAACCCCTCACTGTGTGCTTCCAGCATGACTGAAAGAATGCCAGTTTTTTTCCCACTCCAGTTTTTACAGTGAAACCTGCAGTTGCAAACAAATGACGGCACTTACAAAAGACCCCGTAGGAAGAAAACCTTTGGAAGGCTTTGAAAGCCCCCTTTTACTCCTGAGATTACATTTGAAAACTTCAATAAATTTCAGAGGAGTGAAACTATCTACTCTTTTAATCTTTGACTTAAGCACAGAGTAGTGTTGCTCTACTAGTGTGTGTCCGCTCAGGGCCACCGTAGAAACGCGGATGTAAGCGGATGTAAACAAAAACGATTCAATCTAACCTAATAAAAGCATAACAGTTCATTATGTAAGGTCTTTATACACCACTGTAAACATAGTTATGTGTATGAAACTGCATTTCTGTCAACAGATCCTCCTAAATATTACACACTGCACCTTTAATCATGTGTTCATGGTGGTTGTCTTATAATGTTGAATGTTCCCTGTCTTGTGTTGAACAATCTGCAATAATAATAATGATAATAAAGCATACAGTAAAGTGCAGTTGATAAGCAGGTCAACAGCTGAGAGATCACATGGACACACACATTAACCTTATCAATAATAATCAACAGTAACTTTGAACGATGTGTATTTTGATAAGGTTACATAAGTGAAAACAAAATGTGATTTAAATGTTTACAAGCTTTTTAGTATTTCTTTGTTGTATTTTATATATTTCTTTTTCATCTACATAGTATGTGTCTAAATGTACATGTATGTATATGTGATGTTACTAAACTGACATTTAATGGAAATGTAACTACAGATATAAAGAGATTTGGATTTGAATCAAACAGTGCGTCTGATAATTATCAGTATCACAGTCTTGTGAGAACTTCACATCAACATCATTACATGGTCAGCCTCAAGATTTGAATGGGTTTAAAATATTTCTAAATATTTGAAGAAAATTGTCAGTCACAGTATTAAACGTCTCAGGTTACGACTGTAACCTATGTTCCCTGATAACAGGGAACGAGACAACATGTCAATTGACGTAATGGGGAATGGCTCAGGCATGACATGTGTCTGAATTCAAATACCAACTCACAGTAATCATGTTGACCGGCGACAGCCCGTGCATCATCCGCTCGAATCTGGATGTATAAAAAGGGCGCCTTGAAACCGTGACAACATCCTATCGTCTGAAGGGACTGTTGCAGGCAGGCCCCGAGGCATGGCAAAGAAACGTATTGTCTCATTCCCTGTTCTCAGGGAACAAAGGTTACAGTAGTAACCTGAGACTTTTCATTTCGAAGGGAACTCAACAATACGTCAATTGACGCAATGAGGAACGAAATACCCCCAGTGCATGCCTAACGGCAGTGATAACGGTCAGAACCAGTATTTCCAAGGAACACTGAAACTACTCACCCTACGTCACATCAGGCTGTCAGTGACAGCACTCCCTACTGGTCATAGCCCAAGCTAATGAACCAAGAAACGCCAGAACGTAATAACGGGGGTAAATCTGGGCCAGCTCAAAGGCTTGGGACCACAACTTCCAAATAGAAGGGGTCCCGGCCAAAGGAACCCCCAGCCAGTCACTTTTCAGGAGAACACTCCTCCTGAAATGCCCCCAGGCTGGCCTGGTGATCTGTACTAAGACACACAGTCTGGCCATAGCCTCTCTGCCCGAAACAGAGCCTCTGTAATTCACCTTGGAAAGGCATCCAAAAACTGAAGTCCTGCAAAGCTGGCAGAAACCATGGAGTTTCGGATCACAGAGACGGGATCCTCCGGAGAGTTTGGCTCAACCTCAAATAACGGGTGTCGTCCACTCAATCCACGGGTCTACCCAGTGCTCGCTCTTGATCACTGAGGAAGTATGAGAGGGATCAAAAATCTTGAGGCCTGTAACCTGGCAACCAAGAACCCATTATCAGGAAGGCCTGACGAGGCCAGTAACCCGATAGTCCCAATGCGTGGGGAGCTCACATTCAGGAAGGCCGCTGAGGCCTGCAACCTGACATGTGAAGACTCACAATTACACCTTTGCGACCACAATAAGTGGGAGTTTCACATTCAGGAAGACCTGGTAAAGCCTGCAACCTGACATGTGACAACTCACAACCAGGAATGCCAACGAAGCCTGGTGACCACTGAGAGTGGGAGCATAGTACTCAGGAAAGGTGATGTGGCTATAATCTGGTGACCACAGTATGTGGGAGCTCACATTCAGGAAGGCCGGGTGAGGCCTGTAACCTGACATGTAGAAGCTTATCACCAAGAAGGCCGGATAGGGCCTGTAACCTGGCGACCCCAGTATGTGGGAGCTCATAACCAGGAAGGCCGGATTTGGCCTGTAACTCGATAGGCACAGCACTATTGTGGGAGCTCAACAGTATGTGGGAGCTCATAACCAGGAGGGCCCGTTTAAGGCCTGTCACCTGGTGACCACAATATGTGGGAGCTCATAACCAGGAAGGCTTGATGAGGCCTGTAACCTGGCTTCCCGTTGGGTGGGCAGGAACCGGTCATCCAACATACCACGAGCAAGTTCCTCCCAGACGCGCCTCCACTGCAGCTGCAATCTATCCGTGGTGTGCCCCATAACATCCACAAGCTCAGCGTACACTGGGCAGGAGGGGACTCAACCAAACTGACATCATCCACAGCCAACTCCTGCCCGGCCCGAAGAGAACCAGTTACAGATCCATCAGAGAGAGAAAGCGAGATGTTCAACATTAATCTGTAACTCACCCTCATCAGATGGTAGATCATCCGCGAGGTTAACGCCCTTCTCCCAATAATCTGCCAGCTCCACGAGCTCAGCCACCACTGAGCCTCAGCCCGAGCTGATGAGAGTGGAGAGTTTTGATCGTAAAACTCTCACAGTTCTCGCAGAAAGCGCCCTTGAGAGCTTCCCGCACATGCTCTTCCCCCAGGCAGAACACACACAGATCGTGTGAATCCTCCGGTGTCAAATATCTGGGACACGGATCAGCACACTTGCGGAAGGTATTACACCTCTTCTCTGTACGCTTCGTCTTGACCGTTGATTTATCAAACAGACAAACAGTCCCTGAAGACGAAAAGATTTCACGGTTTCAAGGCACTCTTTTTATACATCCAGATTGACGCGCTCATCATTCGAGCTGTCGCCCGTCGGTCAATATGATTGCTGTGAGTTGATATTTGATTTCAGACACCTGTTACGCCTGAGGCGTTCCCCATTTTGTCAATTAACATATTGTTGAGTTCCCTTTGAAAGGGAACTCTGAACAAAACTCATGTGGTTTAATTATCATAGAAACTAATTTAACACGTTTAACTAAATCACATTAGACACTCTCCATGAATCACATTATTTTAATTATCTGCATTTTTATTTATTTTTTGATAATTTATTTTAGGATATTTTTTTCAAACAGACAGTCACTGAAAGTGGTGATGAACAGCAGCATCATATCACGTGTGTTATACTGTATGTCACGGGGTTTGTTCCTTGTTCCTGTTCCTTGTTCCTGTTCCTTGTTTCTGTTCCTTGTGTTCCCTTGTCTGTTGTCTCATGTTTTCATTGGTAGATTGTTTAAATATTTACATGTGTCCCATGTCTCGTCCTGTATGTATTTAAACTCTCATGTTTGCCCTGTGTCTCTGAGTGTTGTTTGTTCTATTCCCGGCTCCAGGATCTTGTTCTCTAGTCTTGTTTTCTGTTTAAGTATCTGTTGAGTTTTCCATGCCTTGTCATGCTTTTGTTTTGTGTTTATCTTTTTTTGTAATATTGGGTTTGGGTTCTCACCTCAACTTGCCTCCAGTGCACTTAATCATTACAGTAGATTAATGTTCAAAAACAAGAAATGTATGTTTGCAACTGTGTGTTTAAAAAAAAAAAAACAACAACAACAACTTCCCAACATGTACAGGAATAACAATAATAAATACATTGATTTTTTTTTTTTTTTTTTTTGCATTTTGACGTTCATGGGCACCACTCAATTATCATATATATATATATATACCTGAATACCTTTCAAACACACATGCATAATTTAATACCAATATTAAAAATAAAAACACCATTGTTACAATAGATTTATGATTAAGGGTTTATTTACATTCACTCTTTCTGATCAGCAGCCAGAACAAAGAGATCACATTCATCTAAATATATAAGGACTTACAGTGGATGTAATAAACATTTTTGTTGTCGAACCATGCCATTTCCATGTCGAACACAGCGCTGTAAGGCTTTAAATATAGAAACTAACTTGCATTCAGCTGGTATTTGGAACATAATTGAACAAGTAAATGTTGGTCAATTCTGAAGGTTTTATTAATTCGAGACTACAGAAGAAACCTAAAAGCAGACAAATAGAGACCAAGAGAAGGAAAAGTGTATTTAACATGTTCTCCTCAATTCTTGTTTGACCAATATTTCCTAAATTATACATTCTAATACTTTATTATGTCTTTTATATATTCACCACAATTCCATTCAGTATAAGCTGCAAAGCAGATCATTAATGCTGTGAAATGATGTTTGTGTGACGAGTAAGAGACTCCAGACAGAATCATCCTGTGCTCTATAGCCCAGAGAATATGTATTAGAAAGATTTAGTCTAAAATATAATAAAATAAAAGACTGATAGAAGGTAAACACTATGTAGAACAAGAATATGAAACACTCAAACAAAGTAAACGGCATCATGTTCAGACTTGTGATCATACTGTTTGTCTTTCTGCTGGAATTCTCTTATCTAGATGGTTTATTTCGGTTATCATATCATTTCTAATCAGTCCATACCTGCATGTCATCTGATATCCAGCAGCCTCTACAATCGCACTCTCATTGTCTGGTCTCGTATCTAGAGTAAAGACTCTCCTACCTGTTCCTCAGAGGTGTAGTGGTAAAAAAAGAGGTGGGTAAACTAAATTCTGGTGGACCACGACGTGGTCACCAGGTACGGTGGGCCACTGTCTACCGGTGTATGTGTATCTCCTTATGACATACTGTAGGGAGGGCTCGACATTAAGCCTTTTCATACGCTTGTCCTTCGGACAAGTACATCTGCCATTTACTTGTCAGAGTAAAAAAATTGCTCGTCTGGATTTTTTATTTTTATTTTGTGTGTGTTCATTTATTCTGAAACAACATTCTCATCAGTGTTCAATCAGCTTTGATATTTAAATCACATTATTTTAATATCTGCACCGTTAAAGGGCATCCCCTCACCCAATATTATCAAATGTATGCTTCATCTTTCATTTTAAATTCCTAAATTTGATCAATAAATTCAATTATTTATAATAATAAGACACAGCTGACTGTTACCCTGGGGCTGATCAAATGAAATCATTTACACTGAAAAATTACAATTGCATAAATAATATTATGAAATTGGTTTTAATTTACATATAAGAAACGTTGGAAAGAATGATATACTTTTAAACATTTAACACTAAACCGCCAGTAGGTGGCGGCAGGCGACCATTTTAATGAGTGAGTTATTGATTGATTCATTCAAACGATTCATTCAAACGGCTGATCATTCAAGAATGAGACCGATGTTTTTGAATGGGTCTTTGAATCTTTGACTCAATCGATTCGTTCAAAATGCTGAATAATTCAGTAATGAAAACACGTCGAGTGTTCCTGTGACATGTGCCGTGGTTCTGCTGTGATTTTTGTTTGGAACTATTTTCGCTGCTGAAACAGAACAAAAACAGCCTGTTTTAGGAAATCAATGTCACATTTTCAATTGTGATGATGTTCAGGAAAAATAAATTGCTTAACATAATGTTAAAAATATAAAAACCCCACATTTAGATTTTTATAGGCAGTATGTTGTTAATTGAGTGTGTGTGTGTGTGTGTGCTGCACTCATTTGTGTAGATTTCTGCTCGAGAGGCTGCGCGAGTGTCAACTGTGCAACCTTACCATCAGTAATAGTCATCAACACTGACAGTAATGCAGCGCAATATGAAAGAGTTCGTCTTAGGTTTAACAAACTATGAAACTAATAATGAACATTCTGAAACTAAAATGCCATAAGCTTAATTTAAAATGTCTTAGGAATTACAGGATATTTAGAGGAGGATAAACGCAATTGAGAGGTGGATAAACGCACTTTGGAGGTAAACGCTATTTCCGAATATTGGGAGGTGCGTAAAAGGCATCGACTCCAGCGATCTCTCTGTCGCTATACATATATGTCGCGATCTATATATAGTTCTTGCTAAATATATCCTAAAATATCATACAGATGGTGATGCTTAAATGCAGACATGTCTACATTCAAGAATTGTATGCTTAAAGGAGTAGTTCACTTTTAAAAAAACTTTTGCTGATAATTTACTCACCCCCGTGTCATCCAAGATGTCCATGTCTTTCTTTCTTCAGTCGAAAAGAAATTAAGGTTTTTGATGAAAACATTCCAGTATTTTTCTCCATATAATGGACTTCAATGGGAACCAACGGTTCAAGGTCCAAAAGACAGTTTCAGTGCACCAGACGATGAATAAGGGTCTTATCAAGCGAAACGATCGCTCATTTAATAAATAAATTACAAAAGTTAAGTTTTATAAACTCATATACTCGCCTTGCTCTGTGATGCACAGAGCGTCAAAATGAACAAATCTTTTTCCGAGTCAATTCGTTCGTTGAATGAACCAAATGACTCGGAAAAAGATTTGTTCATTTTGATGAACGAGTTTGAACAGGAGAGTCACGAACATGCGTCACAGAACAGAGCAAGGCGAGCATTTGAGCTTATAAACCTTAAACTTTGTTATTTATTAGCATACGAGCATAAGTGCCGCACACAGTTGAGTGTCTCTGCTTGTTTGCAAAACATGTCGAATCAGCTCTATTTCTAAAGCGCATTTTACAACACTGATCGTCTGAAAACAGCTTTGCAGAGATAACAGGAAAATAATTCAGCAAAGAAAATAGCGTCACAGTCCAGCTTTATTAAGTTCAGTGACGTTTCATTTTTGCTTCATAGTTAATTTATCCGCTCTGGAGAAAACTGATGTCATCTTCCAGCTCAGTTACGGTTAGGTTGGTAAGTAATGGGTAAATAAAGAACTGTCTGTTTGAATAAGTACAGCATATTCTTTACTTAGGAAGAGGAATATAAATAAAGGCTTTTCTGTATTTGAGTAGTGGTGAAGAGTGACTTAGTCAAGCATTAGTCATGAAGTCATTATTGTCTTCAATCTGTGAGAAGCACTTCATGTTGTGACCTGTCACAGGGTGATATAATGTGACTAGTACAGCAACTAATGGCTCATTTCCACTGAAGGGTACGGTACAGTACAGTACGGGTCGGGTCGGGTACACCGGCTTGCGTTTCCACCGCCAACAGTACCCTTACTTGATAGGCGTGGTGTTAGCTGGAAAGAAGCGATCGACGTCATTTTCGCACGAAGAAAGCGACATAGGCTATAGTAAACAACAATGACAGACAGCAGATCTTGTTCTTGCTTCTCGGCATGTTTGTCACTAGAAACAAGCGCTGGCATTAGGCGTTTCCAAGCAGCCAACTTAAAGTCTGACTCAGGAGAATGATGAACCCGAGGACGCGAGTCCAGTAATTCTGCTGATGGAAATATAAACGAAATATGTTATAAAACACCACTCTGCTTCTTTTCGATTTCATTTCAATACATTTTTAACATTATAGCACACGTGGTTCAGGCAACGCATAGCCTATTGATTATAGCATGTATGTAACGTTATATTTATAACAAAACTAAATATAAAACACAACCCCTGCCTCTTTTCGTTTAAATGTAAAAATATGAAACATATTCCAGGCAATATGTAATGTATTGCATATCGCATTGGTACAAATGTTGTAACAGATGATCTTGTAATAATTTTTTTTTTAAAAAGGACAAAATATCTCTTTTGTTGAATTTCAGTTTTATCAAGTATAAGTAAAAGGTACGAAAAGATATACAGTAAAGCTTAAATAACATCAAGAAACAATTCAGTCAGTCAAATATACAAATTCAGCGCTCAAAAATATGAAACTTCACGTAGCCTTCTGCCAAAACTATTGGCCAGGGAACGAATTATAGATTCACGAGACCAAAGATCACCTGTTAGGTTACAAGACGAACTATATCTCATGTTTAACCACTACAGAGAAATCCGAGTCAGCGGCAAACATCAGAACGACTAGCCGAGGAAAGGCTGTTCCAGGCGGGGGACACGAGCGCGAGCGTCCGGTGATCGCTTGGAATGGATCTCAGTCAAATTATCACAAATCTATAAATAAACCACAGATTTGAGCTTTAAAAAACTACTTTCTCGCCTGAAAAACTCTTAAAACTACATTTCGTGACACAATAACAGTAGAATTATATTTCAACTGTATGCTTCTAATGCCCTTGTAGCACGCGCGAGTGACGACACTCCGTCCACCAATCAGCGTTCTGCAGTGAGTCTAGCTCCTCCTTTTAGTACCCTGGCTTTCACTGTGCTAGGTACCCCAACGGAAGGGTACCCCAAAAGTGGTCCGGTACGGTTCAGCTTTTTGGTACCATTCACAAGTTTTGACAGTGGAAACGCAAATAATTGCGTACCGAACCGAAATGTACCGTACCGTACCACTCAGTGGAAACGAGCCATAAGGCATTGTCCACACAGAGATGCGTTTAGCTCTATATGTGATAAAATATATTGTATGGGGGGTTTGGGGGGCTAGGTTGGTGACCTACCCGAAGTGATGGGGTCAACTACCGCTGGAGGTAAGTCACCTAGAACCATCCAGGAACCAGACATGGAAGTAAAGTATAATAATAAAGTGACTGGGATCTTTGAGTCAATATATGACACCATATTGACTTGTCCAACGGGAAAAATTAAATCAACAAGGCCGTGTTGACGCATATAATACACAGTAAAATAATCTTCTAATCTATAATGACGCATATAATACACAGTAATACACAGTGGATAAACCAGAAGATTACGCAGCAGTTGATTGTGAGGGTTGTTGCAGCGCTGCATTTAAACATTTGCAAACTCACTTTGTATTTTTAATGTTAATCAAATAACAAAAGACAAATAAAAAAAATCCCCCAGTGCCCTCGACTGAATAACCTTTTTAAATGACATAATGTTTAATCTGCAAGTAAACCTTTATTTTACTGTCCTGTTCTTCATACTTATATAAAACATATAATGCCTCATACTTTTTTTAGGTGAGGACACTAAGTGCACGCAAGCGCACATACTGTAAAATAAAGTTCAACCAATCTTTATTTAATGTATGTTAAATATTTAGGCTAGTGAGCGATCGTTTCACTTGTTAAGACCCTTATTCCCATCGTTTAAAGCCCTTTGAAGCTGCACTGAAACTGTGAAAATGGTTCCCATTGAAGTCCATTATATGGAGAAAAATCCTGGAATGTTTTCATCAAAAACCTTCATTTCTTTTCAACTGAAGAAAGAAAGACATGGACATCTTGGATGACACGGGGGTGAGTAAATTATCAGCAAAAGTTTTTTTCAAAAGTGAACTACTCCTTTAACTGGCGTCTGTGTCACCCGGGGCAACAAGTCTTGATCACAAACTTTCAAGATGCCGTCAAAATGTCCGGGATTGGGCTTTTGCTTTCCGTCTTCACTATTCATTATGTTTACATGCACAAGGTGTTGTTTCATTACTGAATTCATTCATTTAAATCGGTGAATCTGAATATATTGTTGATCTAATATTCCCGTGTTTTCGCCTCAGTCGGGATCCGTTTGAAGCTATCTGAGAAGCTGATCATGTACGTGTCTGTGTCAAATAATGTACACATAATGAATGGTGATCATGGCGACTGTAGAAAGCAAAAGCTGAATCTCGGACATTTTGGGTGATCTTGAAATGTGGGACTGATTGTGCAAATCAGCAATATATAACGTTAGCATAGCCTAGCGTAGCAAAGTAGCGATTTTTAAAAACTTTAAAAACGTTTCAATAAACAACATAGTTGCAAATATATATGTAGGCCTACATAAAACAAGACGGTCAAATTTGTTTTATCAATCATTTAAGCGAAAAAACTTGTGGATATTGGGATAGCCCTTCCTCTCACGTGAACGCGCAAAACTAAGGGGAAGGGGGAAGGGGCAAGACAGAGAATTGGGATTCAGCCTAAATAGGGTAAGAGACAGACAGGTGGAGCAAATAAACCAATAATCAGATAACAATGGTGAGGGATCAACGATAACAAGAGCACATGGCTCAAAATAACAAAACACCCATGTGCATCACAAGACAGGACAGACAGGTGACAGTATCTTGACAAAAACCTTGTGTATTAAGATATAATTGTCTTAAAAGTTTAATCAACGCATTCTCATCTTAAGGCGTCATATACTGATGCTTTTGCCAATGCGTATACATCCAACCCACATGACACCCTTTAGAGTCAATATAACACGCTTCGGTTATGGGTAGGTTTAGGTCTGGTGTAGGGTTAGGGTTAGACCACTAGGAGGCGCCTTCTGCCGCATATATATCTGTGTCTCATATTGACGCTAAAGGGTGCCATGTGTGTTGTTGGATGTAGACGCAACACAGATCTTGGTTTATAGATGACTGAGGGGGTGTGTCTAAAGCTGCTTTTAAACTTAACAGCTCTCACAGCACATTGCACAAACAGAGATCTCAGAGCTGCAGACGAGAGTCTTTCAAGGTTAAAAAAGGATTTTTTTTAATTCTTTGAAATCTCAAAATGAAACTGAAATGTAAATCTGTATTGCAATAATTGAACTCTTACATTGAACCTCTATTGTCTGCAAAAGATCATGCAAAAGCAGAATTTAAGAGAAATTGATGCATGGCAGAAGATTTGTGGATCATTACGTGCTGCAGAAGAATTGAATATCAGAACAAGAGAGAAAGGGGAAAATGACAAAGAAAGATGATGAGACACAAGCAACTGATCCGAGGCGAGTCAGACGGAACAGCATTAACAGTGGAAAACCAAACTGTGAGTATTTAAGATAAAACACGACTACACATACTTTATTCCTGCAATTCTTGCTGCACTTTCAGGACTGCATTTCTATAGTGCCACTAGCTAATGCCAATCCAACAGAGGAGGGGTCAAATGTCAAACAAAAAGGACCCGAAAAGTGATTAATTTTTTAATATCTTTCCACCTTAATAGTGTGCATGACCATTATTAAACTTGAATGTGAAAGGCTTTCGGTGTCTGCAGTCTCCAGTTATTATTTAGCAAAAACAGTTTATTGTGCTGCTGGATGTTGGTATTCATTTTTAAAATTATTTTTATTTATCAAGATACTACACACACATTTTTGTTGCGCAATGGTTTTAACGGTTAAGTGAGTCACACATCTTATTCCAAGGAAACTGATATTTCTGTTTTTATCATCTAGTTTCTCAAGATCCAGATGGTTTCATACTGATGTTTCAGAGACATTTACAGACGAGGTGACTCATTAATCACTTACACAAACCAAATAGAGTCAATTATACTTTACTGACTGTGTTTTCTCTTCAAACAGGTGCAGTTCCTTTGACCTGATCAGCAAAATATTTCTCACTATTTCATCACTGATTAAAAAGTTCATTTTATATTGCTTATATTTTTGCATTATTATAGACATTATACAAACATTATAGATCTATATGATCAGCCGTTGTGTTCATTACAGAATAAGAGGTGTATGAATGGGTTTAAAGGGATAGGTCACCCAAAAATTAAAATTCTGTCATTATTTTCCGTCATGTCGTTCCAAACTTTTATTGATCTTCAGGACACAAATGAAGATCTTTTTGATGAAATCTGTGATTTCTCTCTCTCCATTGACAGATACACAACTACACTTTGACTCTTCGAAAAGTTCATGATAGTAAAATACTCCATAAGAAATCAGTGGTTTATTAATTATTGATCATTAATTAGTTTTCATTAAAAGTATCTTCATTTGAGTTTTAAAGTTGAGCGATCTGAACGATATGACGGTGAGTAATTAATGACAGAATTTTTATTTTTGGGGTAAACTAACACTTTAATGTGTTTTGTTATGACAGAATCTGACCATCACTGATGTGTCATCGCAGTATTAACTGTATGATATTATACATAGCTAAAACAGTAATTGTTGCAGTACATAATGTGGTTGTTGTTGTTTTTTTTATTTTTCCAACATTTCATAGTGATGATAAATGGGGATGCAAAAGACAGGAGACAAACAAACAGACAGACAGGACAAACTAAATCCATTACGCCTCAAGTAAAGTCAATGTAAATATTTGTACTGATTATTTGTATTGATTTTTTGCAATATTTAATGTTATATAAGACAAATATGGTAATTTGTTGAGGTTTCTAGTAAACTGAGCCGATGTATACTGTAAAAGATAGTTTAGTTCTGTCTTGCCAACTAGGTGTATTGGTTAATGTATTGCATTCAGATCTATCAGAAAGGAATGAGGAAATATTGAGGATATATTGAGGATATATATTCATTTACTCAATACTTTAGGCCAGAATTTCTTGACATAAATGCAGATCCAAAAGAAGTGATTAACATTTTGTGATTTACAAGTATTAATGTTAACAGCCAATATGTAACAGTTTACTTTTGAATATATGAGTATTTTGTATTGAAACAACTGTATTTTAGAATTACTGTATATAACAAAAAATGTCATAACATTTTATTTAGATTGGTACATTATTCCATAATGAAACTGTGTAGCCATTCAGTTGTGAAATAGATAAAAATGGGGATTTCATGACAAGATCAGACATGAGCAACTTGCTCTGATAGATTATAACCCGGATGAAGTAGTTGACTTCTACACTCGAGAGAGAGAGCGCGAGAGAGAGAGAGAGAGAGAGAGAGAGAGAGAGAGAGAGAGAGAGAGATTATCACAGCGCTTTGTCTACCATGCCACAGCCTTTGTATTCTGTGTCATATTCATTGCAAGGGCCAAAAAATTATAAATGAATAAAAAAATATAAACCAGACATTGGTTAGGCTATGTTTAAAAACAAAAACCTGACTCAGGTGTGTCATTTCTTTTGTTGGATTGAAAAGTCCCCTGTGATTCATCATTCGTAATTCGTAAAGGTTTGTTTTATCATGCCTAAAACAGACTCTGGATGAGTTGCTCTAAAATCTATTAATGGGAGGATTCACTGAGGATTCATTTGTCAAAATTGTTTTTCAGTTATTTCTGTAATTGACTAACTTAATTTTTTACCTGACAATGTTCAGTGTCAAACTACAGAACGTTTCTTTAACACAGTATTAAAACAGTGGCTTGTACAATCTAAGAGAAATTCACAAGCACCAATTTAAATTACACTACCAAACTATTGTCAGTGTAAGAATTTTTTTTTTTGTAATGCATTAAACTGAAATTACTTAATATTTAATTAACTAGTTTTAATAACCATATTTCATATAAAATAGGAGTAATTAAAGTACTGTAGAAAGATGCATTAAGTTCACTCTTAAGTTCAACTGATTGCATTTAATTCACTTCAGAATTCACAAGAATATCAGTGCTAACAGGAAACGCAGCAACTTAATGACACTAATAATAAAACAAATATAACAACAGAAGATAAAGAAACAGTTATAAAACTATAGTTAAGGGGCTTCAATTAATTTTAAGGCATCAATAAAATTAAGAAGTTTGTTTGCTGTTTTCTTCTTCATGAACCACATGGACTTGTAGTACAAAGCAAATTCTCTCTTTTACAGACAGTAAATAGAGGCTGTGTTTGGAAAGGCAGATTAACCCTTACCCTACCACTCTCTAAACATTCTTCTTCTTCTTCTTCTTCTTCTTCTTCTTCTTCAACTGCGGGTGACATCCATCTGTGGATCGATCATGTATCTACTGTAAATCTATGAGTTGGATATACGTAACTGGGATACAAGCATCTGCTTCTTCTTTTGTGTTTTATGATAGTTTGCAAATCTAAAAGGTGCATGTGCGCCACCTTCTGGGATGGAGTGTGAAGCCTCTATGAAATAGACAAATCAATAAATTCAATTCAATAAAAACTATTTAAAAAAAATCCCCCTAATCAAATCTGTCTCCATCAAATATGTTAGAATATCAGACACCCTTCTGTATATCCTGAAATATAGTCTTAACTGTAATGGCATTCATTTCCATATATCTTAGTTTTTCAGCAAGCTGATTTCTTTCTTTTATGCCTTTTAAGAGCACATCTTCTGTTATTGTTCTCACATTAAATCATCAGGAGCACCTTTACACAAGACACACACAAGCAAGTGACGGAAATATAAACACTTACACATGGAATATAAGATAGAAGAAGGATTGATGAGCTTTGACATTATACTGTTCATTTTGAAGAAAAAATATGATTAATGAATTGTGATTTGATTATTATTTCTACTTTTACAGTTTTCTGTTTCCCTTTATGTTTTATATGATGTCTTAGCAATAGAGTTGTTCCGTCAGGGTTTATAGGTGGTTGTTATAGTGATATAAAAACACAACACGGAGTGAAACTGCTGACGTTTTCTGACTGTTGACAGTTTCTAGCACATATGATGAGGTTTATTTTCCAAATGTCTGAAACTGCTGATTAATGTAGTAGAGATTTTCCATAATATTTAGATGTATATCTAAAGTCTCTATATTTTAGAGTATTTTCATAAATTCTGGTTATGGAATTCTTTCACAAGTTAATAGTTTGGACACATTACTATTTTTTATGCTTTTGGGAGAATTCTCTTCTGCTCATCAAGCCCACATCCATTTAATCAAAAATACCAGAAAAAAAAAAAACAGTGGCGAAATATTTCAATTTAAAATAATGGTTTTCTATTTGAATATATTTTAAAATGTAATTTTATTCACTGTGATCAAAGCTGAATTTATCATCATTACTCCAGTCTTCAGTGTCACATGATCCTTCACAAATCACTAATTATTATCAATGTGGATAATATATCATACATGTTTTGCTGCTTAATTTTGATACATTTTTTGGAAACTCTGACCCTTTTTTCAGGATTCATTGAGGAAAAAAAAGTTAAAAAAAAAAAAATAATAATAATCTTGCATACTATCTTAATCTTCTAATTGAAGAAAAAAACATGACAAGGCATAATAAGACATAAATGTGTTAATAAACAGGAAACATGCGATAAATGCAGATAAACAGGAAACATATGACCAAAGCACTTGACATACTTTATGTCACACACACACACACACACACACACACATGCACCCAGAAGACAACAGATTATTCAATGCTGTAGAAGTATTGTCAGTTCAAGTTAACTAATAACTAATATTGATGAACTGAACCTTGTAGTAAATCGTGAGCTTAGAATTATAAGGTTCTATCTCCACTTTTGGTCGAAATTGAGTTTGACATAATCTGATCCATTAGGTGTTTATTAATGCCTGTGTGGTGTTATTTTTGTGTTAAAAAAGATTCATAGATAAAGCTATAATAGAAGATTATACTACATAACAGTTTTGCCAGCTGGGATGTAAAAACTTTGATGCTCAATATCTCAGAACGACCCTAAACGGAGATATAACCTTATAATTCTAAACTCTTGAAATGTTAACAGTAAAAATGTTAAAGGAATGGGGGAAAGTCATGTGACAATGGCGTCAATGATCTTCGATTGGATTTGATAAATCCCACCTTTTGTTTTCGTGTGTGTTCATGAATGAGGAAAATAAATTAAAAATAATTACACATCTCAGCCACTTCGTTATCACTGCTTTATGCCACGTCTAATTGAAGCTTGAGCTGATCTGAGAACAGATGACCTCTGGGATTTTTTTAAGATGATCACAATTAGTCTGAGGAAATTACAGGTCTTCAGTCTGTTGACTCAGCTGGATGACTGATGACCCGGAAATAAGCGGACTATTACAAAGAACAGTGATTCGCAAATAAAATATGTGTTTTTAAAATATTTACTCTCTTTAGTTATTATTTTGGAGTACATGTAAAAAAAAAAAGTGCTAATAAACACTAACTTGATTAGACCTATTCTTAATATTTGTTTATTTGTTTTAGTAAATAGAACATTAATTGTATTGTTAATGTATAAATACTACATCAAATTGTTTTAATTAATTTTTTATATAATGTTAGTAAATGTTTATTATACCAGGAAAATAAGACAAACAATGTAGGTATAACTGCAACATTATTTTGATTTTTATTATTTGTATTATTTTTGATCACTGCGCCATTGATCAGGATTGTTAAACTCGTCAGTCGTTTTCAAAAAGCCATAAAGGACTGCATGAGCTTTAGATCAGGAGTGTTTCCTGATGAGTGCTGGACACTTACAGGTCATTATGCAATCCTGCATACACTGCATTATCCACTTACAAATCAGACAGGTAATTTGCCACAAAGCCACAATATTTGTATAGATTTATTAGAAAGGCTATGGAGATAAGCAAGAACAGAGGAGAAATATATGAGATGAATCTGTTGTTGTTGTTTTAAGTACCTTTTTGGTGTAATGTGTTGCTCAGTATGGAGTGTCTTATATGGAGTTATTGAAAGTTGTGATGATGTTTTGAGCAGAGATGCAGAGAACCAGAGATGGTTCAAAGGATAAGAGGAACATCAGATAGGAAAAAAACATTCTGCACTTTCAGTTATGACACGCAGTATTGAGGCTTGTGGCTTGAATGACTGTGATGAGTTTGCATTTTTTCATCACGTGCGTGATCGATACTTAAGCATCAGCAGAAGCCAGTGTCGGCGGGTTAACTGATCTCTCAGAGTGCCGGATATGCTTCCTCTCTTCAGATCATCACATGGTAATTAAAAGACTTTATATTTCATTGGTTTGTACAGAGATTTTTATTCATTAATTAATTTAAATCCAGACATGCATGTCTCTGTTATAGTGAAACTGAAATGTAAACCTGCACTGAAAAAAATAATATGCTTTATCTAACCAATAAAATTGTGGCAACATATTACAAGCAATATTATTAGTTAAATTGTACAAACTAGAATTAATTAGAATGTTAATTTGATGAACTATTACTCAATTCTAATTTGTTCAATTTAATAAATATTATTGCTTGTAATCTGTTGCCACAATTTTATTGATTAGATAAATCATATTCATTTTTACAGTGTGTATTGCTCAACACTCATTTTAAAGTACACTCTGAACTGAACTACTTGTATTCTTTTGAACAGATATTACCAAAGGCAAAATATATGAGGAATTACCGAACGGGAGAACATGTATTGAGCTTCACAAACACAGAATAATTAAATCTGACAAGAGAGAAAGAGAAAAATGGCCAATAAAAAGGACAAAAATTTACAATCTAATGAACCAGAAGAGAAAAACACGCAGAAAGTCAGAAGAAGAAACAGCATCAACAGCGGCAAACCAAACTGTGAGTATTTATGATAATATCAAACACGTATATTTCATCATCATCATCAGAGTTTCATCTTCTCTGGTGTCTGAATGTGTAAAATCAGTTCTAAACAATAACTTTTCATCCACAATACAGGTCAAAAGGTTTTTTTTTTTTATTATTATTATTAAAAAGATGTTAGTTTTTTTCTTATCTACTTCACCAAATAGGCTATATGAAACAATTTTTATTAGCCTACGTGAAATTCAGTCTGTTCACCCGAACTAGTTTGAACTACACTGATCCATTTTAGTTTTTCCACAGGGTGAAACTACACAGGTTAACTTGTATAAACAGAGAATCTTAAGTGGGTGCAGTGAATCATTCATTCACTTTCTAATTTTCTAATTTTATTTTGAGAATAAAAGAAAATAAGACAATTCAGCTGCATAATTTATGCATACTGAAATGCATGCTGGGAAGTCTGCACTATGGTGGTACCCAGCATGCATTGCAACATGAAGCTTTTCATTTGAGTGTCACCATTGTTGAGATCCATATGCCGATTAGTGATGTCTGTGTGTGACAAAATAACATGTTTTTTTAAAACTTTTT